ATGTGATATTCTCTTAACCCAAGAAGGCTATGCTTTAAGTCTCTATTATGAATAAATAAAATAGTAAATTTTATGGTAAAAATTTTTACATTCCTTTTCCTAAAAATTAGGTATTGAGATTTTCTCTAGCAATTAACTACCACTTTTAAAAGCTACAAGTGTCTTAATAAAAAGCGTTAATTTATTTTACCATTTCAACAAACAGAAATAAGATTTCAGGAAGTACTATTATACTATTTGACCCAAGAGAACACCAATACCTATAAGTATAATATATAAAATATGAAACTGATGTTTTAGACAGATATTTTTGAATACACAGTTCCCAAATACTTGACCTATTAGTTTTAATTCAGTAAAACAAATGAGGCACACCTGCTAATACTGTTGCAGCAAAATAATAAAGCATTAAACTCGTATTTGGCTACACCTAAAAAGGTGCTACTGTGACCAAAAATGCAGGCAGGTACTCCAAGACACCAAAGCAATAGGAGTTAGAGTTCATTCATGAGTTACTATCCCAGTGGCATTCATTTGCAAAAAGGATCTTAGCACAGGCAAGCCAAAAGAGGCCAGGTTATCAAAACCCAATAGACTCTGCCAAGTTACCATCCAGTTCTAAATGGCTGGAGCATTCTGAAAGTGCTACCTGGCAAAAACGTACACAAATACCAAAGAGAGTGTGCCATCTGTGCCAAAAAGTTCAAACCATGACACAGCTCAAAACATCACAACAGCAACACAGACTACAGAGCCTATTTGCTAAGGGAGCATTTCAAAAATTTACACTGCCAGGAAATGTTAAACAAGCACGTAGACACTAATAAAAGAGATGAAGACAGTGTCACTTCTGAACTTTTATTATACAGTCATGCGACACTTAACGATGGGGATGCTTTCTGAGAAATACATTGCTGGGTCATTTCGTCATTCTGCAAACATCATAGAGTGTACTTATACAAACAGATGGTACAGCCTATGGCTCCTAGGCTACAAACCTGTACATCATGTCATCGTACTGAATACTGTAGACAATTGTAACACCATGGTATTTATGTATCCAAACATAACTAAACATAGAAAAGGTACAATAAAAATGCCATATAAAAGATAAAAAATGGTACATCTGTATGGGGCATTTACCATGAATGGAGCCTGCAGGACTGGAAGTTCCTCCGGGTGAGTCAGTGAGTGACAGGTGAGTGAATGTGAAGGCCTAGGACAATACTATACATTATTGAGGACTTTGTAAAAACTATACACTTAGCCTACACTAAATTTATAAAATAATAATTGCACTACAACATTATGACAGCTACAATGTCACTAGGCAATAGGAATTTTTCAGTTCCATTATAATATGAAGAAACCACTGTTGTATATGCAGTCTACTATTGACCAAAACATCATTATGTGGCACATGATTGTAGTTATTTATGAATGCTTTATATCTTTTTCTTGAGGGAAGCACTTTCTTCAGGAGGGCACCATTCTCTGACTCATCTTTATGGTTCCGTAGTGATAAAACATATACACACACACACACACAAACTTTCTTCAGGAGGGCACCATTCTCTGACTCATCTTTATGGTTCCGTAGTGATAAAACATACACACACACACACACAAACACACACACACACACACACATATATATGTATATATACATAACTCTGAAAAGAACAAATTAAACCTGGCATAGAACAAACTTTATCTGAGAGACTGGAGACAGTTCCAGGGAATGTGATCACTTGAGATCTGTAATATCACTGATTGAGATGGGACTCTATTTTCTTCTAAATAGTTATTTGTATGAAATATACTAATATATTTTTGTTTTTAAATCCCTTCCTCGGTTTGTATATTTCCTTCAAGGGATTTAACAGCTTATTGTGGTTATTCCATTTATAAAGTTAAGAACTGTGAAAAACGGCTAAAATTTCAAGGGGCAGTAATAATAAGTTATAACTTTCTTAGAAGTGCAGAACTCAAGTGAGTACTTAAGAGTAAGTTTTTGACAAAATGGCTTCAATTCTTTTTTTTTAGATAAGATATCTAGCCTAGTGGGTCACAAAAAATGTACAGACACAGTACAGAGATACAGCATCAAGGAACTTGACAAACCATTGCATGATATTCTTGATAAATACACAGAGAAATATGGATGGACTGGCAGAGTAAAGGGTCCTTGACAGCCTGGTGGGATATTTATTGAAGAATGACACAGAACATTTTTATCAATAACTTCATAAATTAATCCAAAAAAAGCAAACTGAAGAGAAGTTTCGCTTCCAGTAAGTATAGACAAACTTTTCACACTCTCTCTGAGAACAAATAGAAAAGTTGGGAGGAAACAAACAAACGTCTGTCTGAGACACCAGAGAACTACAGCATGAAGAACTTCTGTTAAAGACCCAAATGATAAGGGAAGCTCGGAGTCATGATTCAAACGCAGCACTGATTTTTCTTTGGAGGCATTTGCCTAATGCAGCAAGAGAAACTGTAAAGTTGGGTGAATGCAGTGACTGAGAGGCTGAGATGCAGAGAACTACTGGAAGTCCCATAGAGCTGAGGCAGGTAGAGAGAGATTTGGAGTTCTGCCTCAATCAAGCAGAGCAGGCCCTGGTAAAACATCCCAAGAGTTGAATTGGGATTTTGAATAACTTTGGCCCAAGAGAAGGAGCAAACTGGAAATAGACCTGCCCTATCAGTCAGCTCAAACCCTGATTGTGTTACAGTTATCTGCACCCCTCCCCCCCACCACCTGGCCTAATGACCTCAAGACACAAAACTAAATGCTCTCTAAAGGATGACAAGATTATCAAANTGGCCTAATGACCTCAAGACACAAAACTAAATGCTCTCTAAAGGATGACAAGATTATCAAACGCCTCAAATATCCTTTATATTTTTCCATATATACTGTTTGGCTCTTAATAAAAGGTGAGCATTTGTAAGAAGTCAAATACCGACCAAAAACCAACAGAAAAAAACAGACCAGACCAAAGAACCCAACGTACAGGAAATCCAGATATGGTATTAATGAAGACATAGAATTTAAAAATACTGTGATTACTTTGTTAAAAAAAAAAAAAAACAACATATCAATGTGCAGAATTTGGGCAAAATACCTAGAAACAATAAAAATAATCAAATAGAAATTTTTAAACTGAAAAATACACAGTGGAATTAAGCTGAAATCAATAATAAAAGATAAGAAAATCTCCAACTGTTTGAGAATTAAGTAAAACATTCATATGAAAAATCACAGCAGAAGTTAAAAAAATATTTTTAACTGAATGACAATGAAAATACAAAATTTAAAACTTGTAGAATGTCGGCACAAGCCATGCACATAAAGCAATTTGGAGCCCTAAGTACAGGTATTAGAAAGTAAGAAGGGCTAAAATTGTTTGGCAGTAACCACTAAGATATGCACATTTAAAAAAAATTAATATTATTGTGCATATTTGAGGTTACATGATCTTATGTGATACGTACAGATAGTAAAATGGTTACTATAGTGAAGCACATTAACATATCCATTAACTCACATAGTTACTTTTTTGTGTGACAAGAGCAGCTAAAATCTACTTATTTAGCAAAAATCCCTAACACAATACAATTTTATTAACTACAGTACATATGTTGTACATTAGATCTCTAGACTTGTTCATCCTACATATCTACTACTTTGTATCCTTTGAACTACATATTCTAATTTTCCCCCCTCTTTCCCCATCCTTGGTAACCACTGATTTATTCTCTATCTCTGTATATTCTGTATATTTGGGGTTTTTGGTTTTTTTTTTAAAATTCCATATACAAGTGAGACCATTCAGCCATAAAAAGTAAAAAGACCCTGCCATTTGTCACAACATGAATAGACGTGGAGGACTATGCTAAGTGATATATATATTTTTTGACACAGCAATACCATGTATAATAGACATGTGCATTAAGGCATAATTTTAATGATCAGAAATTGGAATAAACTCTACCGTATAACAATAGTAGATGAGATTAAGAATTTATGGTATAGGGCCGAGCCCGTGGCGCACTCGGGAGAGTACGGTGCTGGGAGTGCAGCGATGCTCCCGCTGCGGGTTCAGATCCTATATAGGGATGGCCGGTGTGCTCACTGGCTGAGCGC